CGTCAGTAGTTGATTACAAGTGGAAAAATCATTTCTTCAAAATGAAAGTAGGATATAGGGATGACTGAAGCACCAAAAAGGAAGAAACAAGGGGTCATTACACACCAAATATGCACAAAGCCACATGACACCATCCCTATATCTTTGTCTCATATTAAACTTTGCTTATGAACAATAAAACAAAGATATAGGGATGGTGTCATGTGGCTTTGTGCATATTTGGACTTGGTGTGTAATGACCCTTGTTAACCCGGGCGCGCATGCGCAGCGAGGGTTACAGTAGTTACCCTCGGCGCGTATGCGCAGCGAGGGTACTGTAGTTACCCTCGGCGCGCATGCGCAGCGAGGGTACTGTAGTTACCCTCGGCGCGCATGCGCAGCGAGGGTTACAGTAGTTGGGTTTGTCTGTGTGTGTGTCTGTCTGTTACTCTCAATCTCAATTCTCGGGTGTTTGTTCGTCTCACAAAGGATACGACCTACTTAACGGGCAATGAAGGTCAGAAATTTCGAACGGTTTTCTCTGAAACTTCTCCGTTGCAAAGCTAGAGCGCGAAAAAGCCAATATGCAAATACACAACGGACGGGATGGCTTACCACAGTCGGATCGATCCGCGTACTTCGGAGGCACTAGAAGATCTCGCATACTATCTAGTAGTGTAGTTAGCCCGCGTCAGACTGCGCGAGCTGGCAAGACACCACGAGTAACAGCTAAACCCAGCCCATCAATTAGTGGTACGGCGCATGCGTTTACTCACGCGTGCGCGTCACAGTGCGCCGAGGGTTTGCACTTCAGTGCTTTTCATTGGGTTTGTCTGTGTGTGTGTCTGTCTGTTACTCTCAATCTCACTTCTCGAATGTCTGTTCGTCCCAGAAATGATGCCATCTACCCAACGGGCGACGAAGGTCAGAAATTTCGAAAGGTTTTCTCTGAAAATGCTTCGTTGCAAAGCTAGAGCGCTTCCGCCATTGTACGGCTAATGCTAGTCGGCCATTTTTATCGCTGCGGAAAACGCGCATGCGCTTATATGCTTTAACCTCGACCGGGTCAGCTTGCTCTGTGTATCTTGAAGGCACAAGAAGTCACAACGAAGGGCGTGTATCGACTCTCGACTACTGCAGCTAGCCCATGTCAGACTCTCTGCGAGCTACTAGCGGGAGACCGCGAGTAAACGCATACTAATAGCAGCCCAGCCCATCAATTAGCGGTACCGCGCATCCCCAGTTCGCCGAGGGTTTGCACTTTAGTGCTTTTCATTGGGTTTGTCTGTGTGTGTGTGTGTGTGTGTGTGTGTGTGTTAGGTATGGATGGTATCAAAAGCCAGGGAGGGAATTTGAGAAGTGGAACAGGGGATGATTTTGGGAAGGCTTTTGTCGGCGTCACACAACATACAGTCCCCCATGCATCAGATATTGATGTTTACCCACCCCCGCACAGCCAGGCCAGCACAACCCCACACACCCCACCAGCATACGTCATTATATTTACTCATGAATACACACAAGTATTAACCACTGGCTTATTTGTACGGGCGCCTAAGTTATGGACGTAACAGGGAACGTCGAGAGCAAAGTACCAATGTTAAAGCGGAACAGTATGTGTGTGTATGCACTACACATACAAGCACAAGAGTAAGACCTGGATGCCCAGCCTTGAGAACTGGGGACGGTGGGTTAAAGATCTTTTGTGGCTAGCCAACTCTCCCCACACATCCAATGTCACAGACTCTCGTGTAAAATCTACAGCTTACAGTACTGTATTGAGGTAATTACAATCACATAGGCTCTCTGGGAGATTTGCAGTCCTATGGTTCTACTAACGCAAAGTGGGGTATTTATAGAGGAGAGTTATGATGTCATAGGTATGGAATTTCCTAGGGAGAGGCAAAACTGGATTTAGATAGACAACTAGGGTATTTAGGCAAACAGTAATGAGGAGACCAGGGTGTCTAGTAACAATTTTCCAGAGCCAAGCAGAGCAGCTGCAAAACCAGGACAGGTATGGAATTTTCTAAGGGGGAAGGGGGAATGGGTTTGTTACTCTAAGATCCTGGGTGATGTATTTTACTTTAGTAATAATCACATGTGTAAAACATGATGCTCTGTGTGCGTGTTTGCATGGGGAAAGAAAGGAAGAAAGAGCGCCTGGGACTGAGAGGTCCTCCTCCGCGGCCACATGCATTGGCTTTCTGAATGTCTGTACACCGAAGTCCCGCCCCCACCCCATGCCCATGAACCGGAAGGCCCTACGTATAGGTCACGCGATGTTCTAGTGTCACGTGTAGTTTAGCCTACGTTCATGCACAAGTCATCAGGGGAGCTCCTCGGCAGATCATCGTGCAGGACACCGGTTTCGGTCCCTTTAGTCTCCTGACCTGTGCCCTGCTACCAGAGAGGCGGGACCACTCCCTTAACGGAGTCTGGTAGGCTTAGTTTGTGTGTCTTGTATAATCAGTCTATGTCTATTTGTATTCTACTGCTGCACAGTTCATGGTCAGTTAAAATACCAGGTTTACTTTGTACAGCAGTGTATATACACTAGGTACTACTAACTTGAGTAGGGGGATTACACAGGTGGTATATACTAGGTATACTAACATGCGTAACTATACCTGTGGTATCTTGGTTGCCAGCAACTCTGGAGCCCGCGCTGGTACTACACGTGGTTGGGTTCACGGAGGTCATTAATTAGTTTACGCAATAAGGTGTATTTTTAGAGCAGGTTACTATAGTTTGTGGGATCCCTGTGTAGTTGCTTAACTGGTTTCCTTGTGTGTGTGTGTGTGTGTGTGTGTGTGTGTGTGTGTGTGTGTGTGTGTGTGTGTGTGTGTGTGTTGTGTGTGTGTGTGTGTGTGTGTGTGTGTGTGTGTGTGTGTGTGTGTGTGTGTGTGTGTGTGTGTGTGTGTGTGGTGTGTGTGTGTGTGTGTGTGTGTGGTGTGTGTGTGTGTGTGTGTGTGTGTTGTGTGTGTGTGTGGTGTGTGTGGTGTGTGTGTTGTGTGTGTGTGTGTGGTGTGTGTCTGTCTGTTACTCTCAATCTCACTTCTCGAATGTCTGTTCGTCTCACAAACGATACGACCTACTTAACGGGCAATGAAGGTCAGAAATTTCGAACGGTTTTCTCTGAAAATGCTCCGTTGCAAAGCTAGAGCGCTTCCACATTGTATGGCTAATACCGGTAGTCGCCATTTTATCGCTGGCGGATAATGCACATGCGCTTATATTTAGCAAAGGACCGGGTCCGCTTGCTCCTTCTATCTTGAAGGCCACAACGAATGGCGTGTATCGACTCTCGCGTGCTATCTACTACTGTAGCTGGCCCATGTCAGACTCTCTGCGAGCTACTTCGCCGAGGGTTTGCACTTTAGTGCTTTTCATTGGGTTTGTCTGTCTGTCTGTCTGTCTGTTACTCTACATCTCATCTCTCGAATGTCTGTTCGTCCCAGAAACGATACCATCTACGCAACGGGCGACGAAGGTCAGAAAATATGTAGGGTTTTCTCTGAAAATGCTCCGTTGCAGAGCTAGAGCGCGAAAAAGCCAATATGCAAATACACAACGGACGGGATAGCTTACCCCGATCCGCGTGCTCTGCGTGCCTCGGAGGCACCAGACGATGCAACGCAGGGTGTGTATCGCCTCTCGCATGCTAGTATCTAGTAGTGTAGTTAGCCCGCGTCAGATTCTGCGCAAGCTGGCAAGAGACCACGAATAACAAACCCAGCCCATCAATTAGTGGTACAGCGCATGCGTTTACTTACGCGTGCGTGTCACATTGCTTTTCATTGTCCCGTAAGTGTGTCGTCTGTCTGTCTGTCAGTCTGTCTGTTACCACGTTTTCTGCCACCGCGCGCACGAAATCAGGTAAATAGCGATATGATTGGGTTCAGTGCTACACTGGGTTGATTTAAAAAAAGGCGATTTTCGTAAAACTACTGTGTTTTAACCGAAGTGTTAATGTTGGTTATAAAAAGTCTCTAGGCTGAAGCATCTTGTGCTTATTCCAGGAGGTGTGCTACCAGTACTGGCCTGGGAAGAGAGCACAGACCTATGGAGAGTTCAGAGTAGAGCTGCTCAGTGAGGGGTGGAAGAGTGGATTCTTATCCAGGAACTTCTCTGTCCAGCAGGCCAAGGTTAGCATAATAAGATGAAGGGGAGTTGAGTTCGTAGCTCTCTACACTGTGCAATATACCATGCAGTAATTGATTTGAACTTGCAGTTTGCCATAGCCCATCAGGTGTGGCAGTTCCACATCCCAGAGTGGAGCTCAGACTACCAGTGGCGTGGGGATGTGAATGCCATTGTCTCTGTCATAGAGGAAGTCTCCAAGGTCCGGAGGAAGACTGGGAACCACCCCATTGTCGTCCATGGACTGTGAGTTTTAGATGCCCACGTATGCAGCAGACTGAATGTGTCAGGTACATACGCCTTGCACAAACAGATGCGAAGTATGCCTTGCACAAGAGTAATAAAGAGTGGGTTGGAACCTCCTACATTCGCACCATTATTCCCATCCTCTTTTCAATTATCTACAGTGACACAGTGAGTAGATCAGCCATATTCTGTGGTGTGGCCACCACCATTGAGAGGTGTAAGACAGAGGGAGTGGTGGATGTGTTCCAGGTGGTCAAGTTCAGAAACCTGGAGCTATACAAACTTTGGTATGAGTACTGATTTACGAATGTTGATCAGACACACATTTTCCCACTTGCAGGAACAGTATAAGTCGATCTTTGAAGCTATTTTAGCATATATTGACTCATTCGAAACATACTCAAATTTTGCTTCTTAGATGTGTTGTAAGTATAAACTCATGCAACGCAATTGTTGCCATGGTGTATTTGTTTTAGTTCACTTCATGATGTTATTAAACTCCAGAGACCCTGGAGGGTTGTAATGCCTTGCACGTCAACTGCGCATGCGTGAAAGTCCAGGCCTTGGAGGGCATGGATGAAGGGGGCTGGACTAATAACAAGATGGGTAGCGGTCAGAAACTCCTGAGAGCTGATTATAACTGCAATACTACCTACCCAGGGCCAATCCCCTGTAGTATAGTTGACTTCCAGTAGTATAGCTGATGGGTGTTGTGCATAAATGCCGAGTCATGCTTTGTGTGGCAGGAGAAAGTGCCGTCAGTGGTGATGATCACCAACCTGGTGGAGGGGAAGAAGACAAAGTGTGAGCAGTACTGGCCGTCCTCTGGGTCTCAGGATTTCGGGCCGTTCCACGTATCCATCACTCACCAACTCACAATAAATGCAGTGTTGCCAGAAGCTGTTAAAAATAGTGGAAACAAGTGGAAAAATCATTTCTTCAAAATGAAAGGGGGATATAGGGATGGCTTGAAGCACCAAAAAGGAAGAAACAAGGGGTCATTACACAGCAAAGTTGCACAAAGCTACATGACACCATCCCTATATCTTTGTGTTATATATACGGCTCGGTAATAGAGGTTGTCTTGCATGTATACTAGCTCAAGGGAAACTTTGCTTATCACAATAAACAAAGATATAGGGATGGTGTCATGTAGCTTTGTGCAACTTTGCTGTGTAATGACCCCTTGTTTCTTCCTTTTGGTGCTTCAAGCCATCCCTATATCCCCCTTTCATTTTGAAGAAATGATTTTTTCACTTGTGTACTAACAAAGAGGTCTGAACCAACTGGAAGTATAAGCACACATACACCTCCCTGTATCCTTCTCTCGCCAATAGTATGTATCATTGT